TGGAATTAATCATTATTAGAGGAGAAGTCCATGCGGTATGGATTCCGGTCGCTTTTCTTCCAGGAAGGAGAAACGTGAAAAATGAGTGGCGATATATGTATATCTATCTATATTTCGTATTATTTGCCTTTAAAAAACAAAAAACCGGCGGTTGGGGATAGAGTTAAAAAGGCGGGCCTTAGAAGGCCGAAGAACCGCGAAAGCGGACGCTGATTGGCTGAAGGAGGCCTTCGGTTTAAACCCTGCAAAACGAGCCCGGGGTCCCGGTCGTGTCTCCGCTTCTTTGGCCAGCTGCCAAATTGGAAACAATGGCTGCGTTCATGGACCAGGCTCTAGCCATGGTCAGGGGAAGCATCGTGGTTCGCTAAATCAAACCACGGTGCTCCCACTGACCACGGCCAAGCGTGAATCTGGGGTTGCGGGATGAAAGAGACCCCGAAGGCCCCAATCGGTTGCATCAGCATAAACGGGTCAGATGGAAATGCGGTTGTAATGAGATGGGGGGGTGGGATACAAAGTGTGGTAGTCCAGGTGATTGGATGTGTTGGAAGAAATATCCTTCGGGATTCCGCTCCAAGTGGGGAAAAAGACACTGGAAACGTGGAGGCTGCTTGGAAAGATGCTTCCAGGATGGACAGGACCCCATGGCTTGGAGAGTCAAAGTGAAAAGGACCATCAGGTGCTTCAGGATGTTGGGTGAAGGAAAAGAAGGGCCAAGGGGCCGAGAGACCCTTCGTTATATACCCTCTGTTGGGCCCCCACCTCCACGTTTCCGGGGTCTTTCCCCCGCTTGGAACTTATATTTCTTCCAACAGATGGAAATGGAGCAAGGAGAGAGTCAATCTGGAAATAAGGAGAAGTTTTCTGCCAGTGAGAGCAATCAACCCATGGAACAGAAGCTGCTTTCGGGTGTTGTGGGAGCTTCATCACTGGAAGCTTTCAAGAAAAGATTGGACTGCCATCTATCAGAAATAGTGTAGGGTCTCCTGCTGGAGCGGGGGTTGGACTAGATGACCTACAACAGGGGTGTTAAACTTGATTTCATTGAGGGCTGCATCAGGGTTGGGTTTGATCTTGGAGGCCCGGAGTGGGTAGTGCCAGCTTGACATGGCTTGTGTTGGGGGCGCCTGTGGTGGCCCGAGCACTCTGCCAGCAAAACCAGGCTCCTGAACTCCATTTTGGGCTGCAATGGCCTCCTGCAACCTTCGGCCAGTGAAAATGGAGCTCGGGAGGTCCGTTTTCGCTGGCAGAGGCACTGCGGGACAGTTCTTCACTCTTTCCAGGGCAGTCCCCTGGGCGAGATCTAAGCACCCCATGGGCTGGATTTGCCCCTGGGCCTTGAGTTTGACACCCCTGACTTACAAGGTCCCTTCCAACTCTATTAATCTGAAGTAACCTTGTAAGGAAATCAAAAATTAAATATGGCTATGATTGATTATGTATTGCCTTTGGAAGAAAGAAAGAAAAAGGAAGGAAGGGCAAAGATGTATATGTTCAAGATGACGAGGTTGGAAAATAAGGATGGCAAGTATTTGTGTAAAATATGTTTTCTTTGGAATAACATGGATGGTATTGACATATCATATTTGTGAAAAACTGGCTTATGAACACACAGTATCGCCATTTTGTCTTACTGCATCTGGCTTTAAGCAAGGTTTGTGAGTTATCTAAGATTGCCACCAGTACCATATTTAATAAATTGTTTCCTTGTTGAAATAAAATAGTTAATAAGCTATTAAACATTACTCTTTTTCATCTTGGTGATACATCACAACTGCTGGAAACAAATTTCATTCAAAATTGAGATTTATTGCTATTTCAAACTGCTTTCTTTTTTAAAAATAACTATTTCAGAGTTTTATTTTTGATTTACTCATCAAAGTTACTACAAACCATCAATGTATTTTACAGAATACAGTATTAGAATACATTTGTAAAAAAGTTTATCCTTAACAAAACTATAACAGAATTTAATCATCCTCGTCTTCCTCTTCCTCCATTTCTTCCATTTCTTCTGCTTCCAGTGCCTCCTCTTGGGCAACCTTGAGTGCCATCTCTTCTTCCACAGTTGGATCAAGGCCTTCAGTGACTTCAGGTCCAATAATATATTCGAGCTGCACTGGAGGTGGCAATGTAGGGTTGAAATTTTCTGGACTGTATTTGTGACCCCAGTAAATGTTATCAAATTTCCTAAAACAAAAAGCAGAAGACTCTAACATTATTAAAAGTTATTAACATTATTAAAGTTGTAGCAACGTTTCGACAGAATCTCATCTGCCACCATCAGGCTTCTGTATTGCGTTCGTCTGTGAGTCAGACTTTCACAGACGTTTCTGTTTTAAATTTGGGGCTAGCCTACTGCTGTGCCAGAATGGTTTTTTCTTCATCCTGATTGGTTGGGACCAATCAGACCAAGACTCCCAACCAATCAGGATGAAGAAAAAACCATTCTGGCACAGCATATGGTCTCACAAGGGGTCTGAGGATCTCATCTCGGTACCTAATGGCAGTCAGGTTACCTCTGGCGAGCACATGGAGGGCTGTGCGGCCCCCTAAAGAAATGCCACCCCACACCATTACTGACCCACTGCCAAACCTGTCATGCTGGAGGATGTTGCAGGCAGCAGAACATTCTCCACGGCGTCTCCAGACCCTGTTACGTGTGCTCAGTGTGAACCTGCTTTCATCTGTGAAGAGCACAGGGCGCCAGTGGCGAATTTGCCAATCTTGGTGTTCTCTGGCAAATGCCAAACGTCCTGCACTGTGTTGGGCTGTAAGCACAACCCCCACCTGTGGACGTCAGGCCCTCATACCACTCTCATGGAGTCTGTTTCTGACCGTTTGAACAGCCACATGCACATTTGTGGCCCGCTGGAGGTCATTTTGCAGGGCTCTGGCAGTGCTCCTCCTGTCCCTCCTTGCACAAAGGCGGAGGTAGCGGTCCTGATGATGGGTTGTTGCCCTCCTACGGCCTCCTCCACGTCTCCTGATGTACTGGCCTGTCTCCTGGTAGCGCCTCCATGCTCTGAACACTACACTGACAGACACAGCAAACCTTCTTGCCACAGCTCGCATTGATGTACCATCCTGGATGAGCTGCACTACCTGAGCCATTTGTGTGGGTTGTAGACTCCGTCTCATGCTACCACTAGAGTGAAAGCGCCACCAGCATTCAAAAGTGACCAAACCATCAGCCAGAAAGCATAGGAACTGAGAAGTGGTCTGTGGTCACCGCCTGCAGAACCACTCCTTTATTGGGGATGTCTTGCTAACTGCCTCTGCTTTCCACCTGTTGTCTATTCCATTTGCACAACAGTATGTGAAATTGATTGTCAATCAGTGTTGCTACCTAAGTGGACAGTTTGATTTCACAGAAGTGTGATTGACTTGGAGTTACATTGTGTTGTTTAAGTGTTCCCTTTATTTTTTTGAGCAGCGTACATATACATATACTATACTATACTATACTATACATACATACATGCATACATACATACATGTAATATCTACATTAACTGCATTATATATTACTACATTTAACTACATTAAAGATAATTATGTAAAACCATCATACGAATGTACAATTATTATCCTATTGCCATCATTCTGATAATATTTTCATTGCTTTCAGAACAGGCATAGTCAATTTCCAGGAACATCCATATATATCTAATCCCAGAGGTTAAATAAACTACACAGCATGGTTCAATAAAGTAAAGCTGATTGTCTTGTCCTTATTTCCTATCAAAATCTTACACCTGTCTCATATTATTAGCTGTGTAATGCAGGTAACAGGTGAGAGGCAGATTACATCAATAGAAAGATCTATATACATAAATACTGACAGACAGGGAACAGGTGGCTTTTTGACAAAAGTATATTGTGTTATTTCCAGCATTATACCATTTCTGATGCTTTTTAGTATGAATGCTTGGAGAACACAAACAGAAAACAGGTTATTTTGAATTAGTTTTCTTATGTTTTTATTGATCATGTAAAACACTTATATTATCAGGGAGGCCACCACCAATAAAGCTTTCTATCCTTGTTCATTAATTTTAATGATGGGAAAAATTACAGAAGATTTTTTTTTTTCTGAAATGTGTTAAGAAAATAAAAATTACTAGAGTTGTAATTGATAGCACTAAAGCTGTTCTGGGGTTCAGATTTTGTTAAGCATACCTGTTTTAAAATATTCTGTACATGATGCACCCAGTTGGAAAGGGTATCCAACATCTCTGGCACAGGAATGGGTTCAAAGTCAGGATTTTCTTCATAATTGTCTCTTCCAGCTCCGCCTTCTTCTTCGTCTCCTTCTTCTTCTCCAAACTGATAAAACCCGAGTGGAGTGACCTGTGTTGCCGCTGAAATGCAGGCAATCTGAGCCCTCAGATAATTAGCTTCATTGCCTGGGAAAGGTGGATAACACACAACGGCAGCATCTAACTTTCCCACTAAGAACTTCTTAATTTTCCTGGTGTTCACGATCTGAGCTGGAGTCACCTGGGGTAATTTCATCCAAGGTTTGCCTGGTTCATTGCAAACATAATAAGTGTATTTATTAGCACCGGTCCGATAATCTTCTTTTGGGATTACGGGTGGTGGCTTGTAGTTGGGTTTTGGTGGCTCATCTTTTTCTTCTTCATCTTCTTCATCTTCATCCCTGGCCTCAATTCCCTCTTTTAGTCCTTCCTCGGCAGTTTCTTCTTCCTCTGCTTCTTCCTCTTCTTCTCCTTCACGGAATTCAACTTCAGCTACAATATAGTTGGCTTCAATACCTAAGAGTTTGCCCCAGAAGCGACATGTTTGGATTGGATGAGTGGCAACCAGTTGTTTGAGGGCAAGGAATATGTGATAGTATTCTTCTGAGCTCAAACCAATTCCAGCCTGTTCAAAATAGTAAGCTGTCTCCATTACATTGGGTAGAGGAGTTTCTGGCTAAAGAGGAAAACCTTCAATTAGGAAGCATAATAATGGAATAGTGTTTCACTATATATCTAAGCATTTATTCCTACTGGAGCAATCCTAAACATACTTATAAATTAGCACTGAATTTAATAGGATTCACTCACAAGTAATACATAGCCTTGACATTTTCCTCCCATGTAATGTTCGTTGCAGTGAATAGTCTGAAAAATTACTGCGCGCAAGAGTACAATGCTACCTGAATATAGTCTACTACCTGAATATAGGGTTAATTGGAGTAGCAGATAACCTGCTTTTGATCAAGCTAACCAGCATGGTACAAACATACCAAATAGTTTATGAATCTTATGATCAACCCATGGTACAAATTCTATCAAATGGTTGATGAAAATTATGCAGAAAATCCCACATTTATCTCCATCCCTAATCATTTGTGTAATATATCTGTGAATGAATATGCATCTGCTTGAGATATACTGATACTTGACTTACAATTGTTCATGTAGTGACCGTTTGAAGTTATAACAGCACTGGAAAAAAGTGACTTATGACCATTCTTCACAACTATGACCATTGTAGCGTCCTGTTAAGTGAGTTTTCCCCCATTTTACTGTTGTTAAGTGAATCACTG